ATCCTTACCATGAGTTTTAACTCTTGAGAATACTGATCTGTTAATAAATGAATCGGGCGGATCCAAATTTATTACCTTGAATTTAAATTTACTTTTAAGTGGCGAATTTTTAACGAAAAACGAGTAAAGATATTTTAGTAGAAAGTTGGTATGATCGAACGATAGTCGAGTACTCGAAAATTCGTTGACATCCCTAAACAAAATCATAAAAGTAATCTGAGGCTACAAAAAGCTTAGCGTTCCTATCATTCAGATTTGTGTAATATTAGATTAAAAATATATAAAATTTAGAAAACCTTAACAAGTTTGTTAAAACTCTAAATCATCCTCACAACGTCAGGGGTCCTTTGATCAACTCGTTGCGTGAGATCCCTGACAAATTTCATTCGGTTTTATTCGGGCTTGCTTCTCTCATTGAGAAGCACCAATCAAAAAGAGATAATGTATACAGAAAGGAATCAGCTCATACCTAAAATTTATGTGTTACGCATTGTTTATCACCGAAAGGCTTAATGTGATTGGTTGAGAAAGAAGAAAAACAATCAAGATTTGTAATTTTCCCGAAAGACGTCTCAGCAGTCACCCCGTAAGATATCGAATGAAATTTGTCCAGGGTCCCACGGCAACGAATTGACACAGGACCCCTGTGATAGTAAGGTGTCTGTCGTCCGCCCGTCCGTCTGTATATCTAGCTGTCTGTTTGCCTGTAAACAATTTTTCAAAATGTTTCTCCTCCTACAGTTTTTGTCTGATTTCAATAAACTTGGCACACAAGTAGATTACAATAAGCTACATAATTCTGTATATCGGTTTTTTTTTTATTTCGATGACCGGTGTTGCCATGGTTACTAAAAATAGAAATTTATGTGAAATACATTCAAAACGCTACTCCTCCTACAGTTCTGGTTTGAATTGAATCTAACTTGGCACTCAAATAGATTGCACTAAGCGACTTGATTTTTTTTTTATCGCTTTTGATTGCGATGAACGGTGATGCCGTAGTTACTAAAAATAGAAATTTCTGTGAAAGATTTTCAAAACGCTACTTCTCCTACAGTTTGGGTCTGATTTCAATATAACTTGGCACACAAGTAGATTACACCGAGATACATAGTTCTATATATCGGTTTTTGGTTTGAATGAAGTGTTGCCATGTTACTAAAAATAGAAATTTCTGTGAAATACTTTCAAAAGTCTACTCCTCCTACAGTTTTAGTCTGACTGCAATAAATATTGTAACAAAAAGAAACTAAACCAAGGATCATTATTCTATTTTTTGCTGTTGAAAAGTTTCAAGTCCAAGTGCTATTTTTTCTCTTCCTTTGTTATAAGTACAAACCAGTAGAGCTACAGTCTCGTCAGAAAATTCTGGTTAGAAGCACTCTACTGAATTTACGATAACATCTCATAGAACTGACAAAATGAGGTAAAAATTGTAAATTTAACGGAACAGTTGTGTCACATCGCACGAGTAAATGAACGTGAAAATTGGACGATAAATCTTTATATCAAAATATTAGTCTCCGTTAGACTCACGGCAGAAATACGTCGTATTTTGGGGTATTTTAATGGTTCCAGTTCATGAACTTTTTGATAACCCCTCGTAATGAATAGCATATTAATGGTTCATGTTTTAGCTTTGAATTTTTTTTAATACTTGTACCCGTGATTCAATTGTAGGCAAGAATTTAGTTCTAAGTTCATCTTAGTAAATTAATTCATTTAATCCTTGAATTGTAGTCAAAAATTTTGGAACAAGTAACATTTAAAAAGGGGGAGGACGAAAAAGCAATCATAAAATTGCATTTATTTGATTTTATTCTCGTGAACATTTTTCAGCATATTTCTGGGGTGGGGGGGGGGGACAGGGGACCCGGCCCTCCCCACTTTTTCTGAGAATCGGTTTTTGACGTAGTTTTACTAGATGTAAATTTTCATTTGGAAGCTGCTTGCCCCCCCCCCCCCAATTGTTGCTGTACGGGCGAACACTGGTAAAATTCCAGATTTGAAAAAAGAAACTTAAAAAAAATACAACTTTGAAAAACGTTGCTACGGGTCTGTACTTTACTTCATTGGCCAAGTTCCTTGTAAAGTGTACGAGGGTTGTTAGAAAAGTTCGCGGACACATTGATTTGAGGAAAATTTATTAAGTACTTTGAAGAATGGCTTATGTCTGATTAAATTCTTATCTTGTAAAAAAATCAGGTCCAGTTACTAAACTTTTGAAAATATACAATGATTTGAACTGTGCGTTCAGAGGATTCACGGAGCAATCACTTGACGTTTTTATGACGTTAGGTGACGCGACTACCTAATCCAAACCTGTCAATCTTTCTCACAGTTTAAAATATCTGTCATTTCTGTAGACTTTTAATGTCTTTTTCCTACTTAAAAATTAAACATGTCACTTCTTTCTTAAATGTCTTTTGAGGCGTATCGGATATTAGTGAGATCTTAAAATTAATGTCTACGCAGTTAAGCGATCAGGTATGGAAACAATGCAAAATCCATAGGCGCAACGTCCGTGCGATTGTGGGGTTTTGGGGTATCACAGGAGTTGACATCAAATTGTCAATTATTTCATTCTTACAAAGCTACTACCTTTTGAATACTTTGGTCCCAGGTACGTGTAGGCAATCCAAAGCAGCATCTAAAAATATTTCAGTCTCTGTTTCGGCATTTTCCTGTCTGCACACATAATTTTTCAATAGGAAAAACACCTACATAACCTTATACATGGGCGCAGACATTTTGGACACCCAAAGTTGTGCGGAGAAGAAAATGCTACACGGCACATGATTGGTCATTAAGAGAAAAGACTTGTTATGTATTTGACAAGTGAAATAAAGGTGATAAAAATCTCATATCAAGACTTAGGCTTCTTTGAGATATGTAGGAGTTACAGGTAAAAATTTGAAGGGAGGGGTGCACTTTGGTTAGAGATTTTCATTTGGTGCTGAACGCACCTAGTTGTAAACAAATGGAATTTGAAAGTAAAAGTGCAACGGCACGGTATATTTTTTCTGGCATGTTTTATTTTGCAAGATCTCGAACTTTCACGGCAAGAAAGTCATTTGCCCAAAATTGAATATATGAATCAGTGACAGGGGCTAAACTTTGTATGGAAGTCTATGGGAAAACATTTGGTGGTGTTTGTCCTATAGAGTAGGTATGTATTACATAGGTAAACGTTGATTACAGCCAGAAAATCAATCAATTCCTATATTTTTGGCATTGGGATTATACTTTGGTTAATATTTACTATCTGTATAGAAATCAGAGGGTTTGGGTAAACTGAGGCCCCCAATGGGGACTCCACATGGTGCAAAAATGCCAAAATTTTCCCCCCTAGCTATCACATTTGCAATAAATGTACATGTAAATAATTTTTAATGAATATTTATGCTGAAATTTACTTGGAATGTTGTAAATAATACAATATTGATAATTATTGGCATCATTAATACACAGAATAGATGAATATCCCCCTCGCAGCTTGAGAAATTCATTTAAATCCATGTGTTTTATGAGTGTAGACATTGGTATAGATTGACTAAACATCTTCCAAATTTGTGTTAATCAGAGTTAATGGAATAATTCTTAACAATATTTGACTGTTTTGTTAACTAAATAGTTTACTTTGTTTTGACATAAGGGGCCTAATCCAGCTGCAAAGCAGATTTCAGTCATCTCATTAGTGCTGGTTTGAAATAAAAGTTGTGCTTTTGGTGTAACTGAGAGGTTACTAGTAGGATATCTTATTAAAATTACTGTACAATATATTGCAAAAGAAAATACATTGAAAATGCAAGAAATGTGCAAAATTATAAGTGAAAAAAATGGTGAAATGTGTTTCTAAATATCCCTCCCCCTTGTCAGATCCCATCTTGATATGCTGTAGAAAAAAGGGGGGGGGGTATATTTGTGCTCTAATGATACTAAAAAATGAAGGAAAAGAATTTTAATGTAGTATATTTGAATAACAAGAGTAATTCTTATCTGCAGTAATTTTTTTTTAAATTTCTTGAGTATTTTTTTTTATTATTATCTGAGTAAATCCTATTAAAACATTATTATTTTTAAGCTATTACATAACAAATGCTTATAAAAAATTCAAAAGATGGTGTAAATAATAATTAATTATAATATAAATTACTACATGCATGTATCAGTATGTTTTAATAAAATAAAATGCATTTCAGCTATGCATCATCAAGAAGGAGAAGTTTAATGAACCCTCCCCTCTTACAATGAACAACATATGGACACTCCCAGGATGAACACTTTGCATTCATTAAGAGTTCCCAGGTATGGTTTTCTTAGCAAATCTAGTTAATCTCTTGATATTTAAGTTATTTAGAACTTTTTAAAGATTATTAGAATATAAACTTCCTCAGAACTGCAGTTATTTAAGCATTTTGCTTACAATTGAGCCCTGTATTCAGACAGACAACATGATTTATCTGCCCTTGGCATTTAATCAATTTAATAATTATGTCAATAATTAGAAATGATATGCAAATAAATATATTGGCCTTTCATGAGAATATACATATTTAACATTTATTACATGAAATTTCCTATAATAATGGCTAAAATGTAGGTCACCCCCTTCAGAATTACAAAATTTTCAGTGGGGGTGTATTTGATTCTCTGATGCCAGCAACCCATTCCTGATATACTTTTTTTTTTTAAATCTAATGTTCTTTTAAATCAAACACAATTCTCTTTCTTTTCATTGATTATTTAATCTACATTAGCTTTTCCTCTTTCCATAACTGAGCATTTTCTTACAAAAACCTGCTGATTTTTTTCATTTTTCATTTATACCGGGTACCTGATACCCTTATTGATTAACATGATCTGTCTTAAGAGATTATGAGAGATAATAAGAAAAACAAGCAAAACATGTGCTAGATTAATCATTTTATTTCAAAATTTTGAAAGAAAAGTGGAAAAATGCTTCAATTTATAGACATTTTTTCTATTTCACATGTATAGGTCTGATTGACTGGGGTGTGAAATGTAACAGCCAGTGGTGTACTTCAGCTAGGACTGTCAGTCCCTATATTCATGAGGTGAGATAACCGATGGATATGTGTTCTAAATGTACTAAATTGACCACTTTTTACAAGTGTTTTCTATATCTCTATAGGAAAAACACCTACATAACCTTATACATGGGCGCAGACATTTTGGACACCCAAAGTTGTGCGGAGAAGAAAATGCTACACGGCACATGATTGGTCATTAAGAGAAAAGACTTGTTATGTATTTGACAAGTGAAATAAAGGTGATAAAAATCTCATATCAAGACTTAGGCTTCTTTGAGATATGTAGGAGTTACAGGTAAAAATTTGAAGGGAGGGGTGCACTTTGGTTAGAGATTTTCATTTGGTGCTGAACGCACCTAGTTGTAAACAAATGGAATTTGAAAGTAAAAGTGCAACGGCACGGTATATTTTTTCTGGCATGTTTTATTTTGCAAGATCTCGAACTTTCACGGCAAGAAAGTCATTTGCCCAAAATTGAATATATGAATCAGTGACAGGGGCTAAACTTTGTATGGAAGTCTATGGGAAAACATTTGGTGGTGTTTGTCCTATAGAGTAGGTATGTATTACATAGGTAAACGTTGATTACAGCCAGAAAATCAATCAATTCCTATATTTTTGGCATTGGGATTATACTTTGGTTAATATTTACTATCTGTATAGAAATCAGAGGGTTTGGGTAAACTGAGGCCCCCAATGGGGACTCCACATGGTGCAAAAATGCCAAAATTTTCCCCCCTAGCTATCACATTTGCAATAAATGTACATGTAAATAATTTTTAATGAATATTTATGCTGAAATTTACTTGGAATGTTGTAAATAATACAATATTGATAATTATTGGCATCATTAATACACAGAATAGATGAATATCCCCCTCGCAGCTTGAGAAATTCATTTAAATCCATGTGTTTTATGAGTGTAGACATTGGTATAGATTGACTAAACATCTTCCAAATTTGTGTTAATCAGAGTTAATGGAATAATTCTTAACAATATTTGACTGTTTTGTTAACTAAATAGTTTACTTTGTTTTGACATAAGGGGCCTAATCCAGCTGCAAAGCAGATTTCAGTCATCTCATTAGTGCTGGTTTGAAATAAAAGTTGTGCTTTTGGTGTAACTGAGAGGTTACTAGTAGGATATCTTATTAAAATTACTGTACAATATATTGCAAAAGAAAATACATTGAAAATGCAAGAAATGTGCAAAATTATAAGTGAAAAAAATGGTGAAATGTGTTTCTAAATATCCCTCCCCCTTGTCAGATCCCATCTTGATATGCTGTAGAAAAAAGGGGGGGGGGTATATTTGTGCTCTAATGATACTAAAAAATGAAGGAAAAGAATTTTAATGTAGTATATTTGAATAACAAGAGTAATTCTTATCTGCAGTAATTTTTTTTTAAATTTCTTGAGTATTTTTTTTTATTATTATCTGAGTAAATCCTATTAAAACATTATTATTTTTAAGCTATTACATAACAAATGCTTATAAAAAATTCAAAAGATGGTGTAAATAATAATTAATTATAATATAAATTACTACATGCATGTATCAGTATGTTTTAATAAAATAAAATGCATTTCAGCTATGCATCATCAAGAAGGAGAAGTTTAATGAACCCTCCCCTCTTACAATGAACAACATATGGACACTCCCAGGATGAACACTTTGCATTCATTAAGAGTTCCCAGGTATGGTTTTCTTAGCAAATCTAGTTAATCTCTTGATATTTAAGTTATTTAGAACTTTTTAAAGATTATTAGAATATAAACTTCCTCAGAACTGCAGTTATTTAAGCATTTTGCTTACAATTGAGCCCTGTATTCAGACAGACAACATGATTTATCTGCCCTTGGCATTTAATCAATTTAATAATTATGTCAATAATTAGAAATGATATGCAAATAAATATATTGGCCTTTCATGAGAATATACATATTTAACATTTATTACATGAAATTTCCTATAATAATGGCTAAAATGTAGGTCACCCCCTTCAGAATTACAAAATTTTCAGTGGGGGTGTATTTGATTCTCTGATGCCAGCAACCCATTCCTGATATACTTTTTTTTTTTAAATCTAATGTTCTTTTAAATCAAACACAATTCTCTTTCTTTTCATTGATTATTTAATCTACATTAGCTTTTCCTCTTTCCATAACTGAGCATTTTCTTACAAAAACCTGCTGATTTTTTTCATTTTTCATTTATACCGGGTACCTGATACCCTTATTGATTAACATGATCTGTCTTAAGAGATTATGAGAGATAATAAGAAAAACAAGCAAAACATGTGCTAGATTAATCATTTTATTTCAAAATTTTGAAAGAAAAGTGGAAAAATGCTTCAATTTATAGACATTTTTTCTATTTCACATGTATAGGTCTGATTGACTGGGGTGTGAAATGTAACAGCCAGTGGTGTACTTCAGCTAGGACTGTCAGTCCCTATATTCATGAGGTGAGATAACCGATGGATATGTGTTCTAAATGTACTAAATTGACCACTTTTTACAAGTGTTTTCTATATCTCTATAGGAAAAACACCTACATAACCTTATACATGGGCGCAGACATTTTGGACACCCAAAGTTGTGCGGAGAAGAAAATGCTACACGGCACATGATTGGTCATTAAGAGAAAAGACTTGTTATGTATTTGACAAGTGAAATAAAGGTGATAAAAATCTCATATCAAGACTTAGGCTTCTTTGAGATATGTAGGAGTTACAGGTAAAAATTTGAAGGGAGGGGTGCACTTTGGTTAGAGATTTTCATTTGGTGCTGAACGCACCTAGTTGTAAACAAATGGAATTTGAAAGTAAAAGTGCAACGGCACGGTATATTTTTTCTGGCATGTTTTATTTTGCAAGATCTCGAACTTTCACGGCAAGAAAGTCATTTGCCCAAAATTGAATATATGAATCAGTGACAGGGGCTAAACTTTGTATGGAAGTCTATGGGAAAACATTTGGTGGTGTTTGTCCTATAGAGTAGGTATGTATTACATAGGTAAACGTTGATTACAGCCAGAAAATCAATCAATTCCTATATTTTTGGCATTGGGATTATACTTTGGTTAATATTTACTATCTGTATAGAAATCAGAGGGTTTGGGTAAACTGAGGCCCCCAATGGGGACTCCACATGGTGCAAAAATGCCAAAATTTTCCCCCCTAGCTATCACATTTGCAATAAATGTACATGTAAATAATTTTTAATGAATATTTATGCTGAAATTTACTTGGAATGTTGTAAATAATACAATATTGATAATTATTGGCATCATTAATACACAGAATAGATGAATATCCCCCTCGCAGCTTGAGAAATTCATTTAAATCCATGTGTTTTATGAGTGTAGACATTGGTATAGATTGACTAAACATCTTCCAAATTTGTGTTAATCAGAGTTAATGGAATAATTCTTAACAATATTTGACTGTTTTGTTAACTAAATAGTTTACTTTGTTTTGACATAAGGGGCCTAATCCAGCTGCAAAGCAGATTTCAGTCATCTCATTAGTGCTGGTTTGAAATAAAAGTTGTGCTTTTGGTGTAACTGAGAGGTTACTAGTAGGATATCTTATTAAAATTACTGTACAATATATTGCAAAAGAAAATACATTGAAAATGCAAGAAATGTGCAAAATTATAAGTGAAAAAAATGGTGAAATGTGTTTCTAAATATCCCTCCCCCTTGTCAGATCCCATCTTGATATGCTGTAGAAAAAAGGGGGGGGGGTATATTTGTGCTCTAATGATACTAAAAAATGAAGGAAAAGAATTTTAATGTAGTATATTTGAATAACAAGAGTAATTCTTATCTGCAGTAATTTTTTTTTAAATTTCTTGAGTATTTTTTTTTATTATTATCTGAGTAAATCCTATTAAAACATTATTATTTTTAAGCTATTACATAACAAATGCTTATAAAAAATTCAAAAGATGGTGTAAATAATAATTAATTATAATATAAATTACTACATGCATGTATCAGTATGTTTTAATAAAATAAAATGCATTTCAGCTATGCATCATCAAGAAGGAGAAGTTTAATGAACCCTCCCCTCTTACAATGAACAACATATGGACACTCCCAGGATGAACACTTTGCATTCATTAAGAGTTCCCAGGTATGGTTTTCTTAGCAAATCTAGTTAATCTCTTGATATTTAAGTTATTTAGAACTTTTTAAAGATTATTAGAATATAAACTTCCTCAGAACTGCAGTTATTTAAGCATTTTGCTTACAATTGAGCCCTGTATTCAGACAGACAACATGATTTATCTGCCCTTGGCATTTAATCAATTTAATAATTATGTCAATAATTAGAAATGATATGCAAATAAATATATTGGCCTTTCATGAGAATATACATATTTAACATTTATTACATGAAATTTCCTATAATAATGGCTAAAATGTAGGTCACCCCCTTCAGAATTACAAAATTTTCAGTGGGGGTGTATTTGATTCTCTGATGCCAGCAACCCATTCCTGATATACTTTTTTTTTTTAAATCTAATGTTCTTTTAAATCAAACACAATTCTCTTTCTTTTCATTGATTATTTAATCTACATTAGCTTTTCCTCTTTCCATAACTGAGCATTTTCTTACAAAAACCTGCTGATTTTTTTCATTTTTCATTTATACCGGGTACCTGATACCCTTATTGATTAACATGATCTGTCTTAAGAGATTATGAGAGATAATAAGAAAAACAAGCAAAACATGTGCTAGATTAATCATTTTATTTCAAAATTTTGAAAGAAAAGTGGAAAAATGCTTCAATTTATAGACATTTTTTCTATTTCACATGTATAGGTCTGATTGACTGGGGTGTGAAATGTAACAGCCAGTGGTGTACTTCAGCTAGGACTGTCAGTCCCTATATTCATGAGGTGAGATAACCGATGGATATGTGTTCTAAATGTACTAAATTGACCACTTTTTACAAGTGTTTTCTATATCTCTATAGGAAAAACACCTACATAACCTTATACATGGGCGCAGACATTTTGGACACCCAAAGTTGTGCGGAGAAGAAAATGCTACACGGCACATGATTGGTCATTAAGAGAAAAGACTTGTTATGTATTTGACAAGTGAAATAAAGGTGATAAAAATCTCATATCAAGACTTAGGCTTCTTTGAGATATGTAGGAGTTACAGGTAAAAATTTGAAGGGAGGGGTGCACTTTGGTTAGAGATTTTCATTTGGTGCTGAACGCACCTAGTTGTAAACAAATGGAATTTGAAAGTAAAAGTGCAACGGCACGGTATATTTTTTCTGGCATGTTTTATTTTGCAAGATCTCGAACTTTCACGGCAAGAAAGTCATTTGCCCAAAATTGAATATATGAATCAGTGACAGGGGCTAAACTTTGTATGGAAGTCTATGGGAAAACATTTGGTGGTGTTTGTCCTATAGAGTAGGTATGTATTACATAGGTAAACGTTGATTACAGCCAGAAAATCAATCAATTCCTATATTTTTGGCATTGGGATTATACTTTGGTTAATATTTACTATCTGTATAGAAATCAGAGGGTTTGGGTAAACTGAGGCCCCCAATGGGGACTCCACATGGTGCAAAAATGCCAAAATTTTCCCCCCTAGCTATCACATTTGCAATAAATGTACATGTAAATAATTTTTAATGAATATTTATGCTGAAATTTACTTGGAATGTTGTAAATAATACAATATTGATAATTATTGGCATCATTAATACACAGAATAGATGAATATCCCCCTCGCAGCTTGAGAAATTCATTTAAATCCATGTGTTTTATGAGTGTAGACATTGGTATAGATTGACTAAACATCTTCCAAATTTGTGTTAATCAGAGTTAATGGAATAATTCTTAACAATATTTGACTGTTTTGTTAACTAAATAGTTTACTTTGTTTTGACATAAGGGGCCTAATCCAGCTGCAAAGCAGATTTCAGTCATCTCATTAGTGCTGGTTTGAAATAAAAGTTGTGCTTTTGGTGTAACTGAGAGGTTACTAGTAGGATATCTTATTAAAATTACTGTACAATATATTGCAAAAGAAAATACATTGAAAATGCAAGAAATGTGCAAAATTATAAGTGAAAAAAATGGTGAAATGTGTTTCTAAATATCCCTCCCCCTTGTCAGATCCCATCTTGATATGCTGTAGAAAAAAGGGGGGGGGGTATATTTGTGCTCTAATGATACTAAAAAATGAAGGAAAAGAATTTTAATGTAGTATATTTGAATAACAAGAGTAATTCTTATCTGCAGTAATTTTTTTTTAAATTTCTTGAGTATTTTTTTTTATTATTATCTGAGTAAATCCTATTAAAACATTATTATTTTTAAGCTATTACATAACAAATGCTTATAAAAAATTCAAAAGATGGTGTAAATAATAATTAATTATAATATAAATTACTACATGCATGTATCAGTATGTTTTAATAAAATAAAATGCATTTCAGCTATGCATCATCAAGAAGGAGAAGTTTAATGAACCCTCCCCTCTTACAATGAACAACATATGGACACTCCCAGGATGAACACTTTGCATTCATTAAGAGTTCCCAGGTATGGTTTTCTTAGCAAATCTAGTTAATCTCTTGATATTTAAGTTATTTAGAACTTTTTAAAGATTATTAGAATATAAACTTCCTCAGAACTGCAGTTATT